AGAAGAAGAAGAAAAAAAAAAACCAGCCAGGCATCATGCGAGAGCCTGGCCCTCACCATCCTCCTCTTCCTCAGCATCCTTCCTCCCGCCCCCCGGCCCGCCCCGCCTCCCCTCCCGGGCACGCCGAGAGCCAAGCCCCCGCTGCTACTCGCCGCCCGTCGCGCTGACCCCACGCATCTCGCAGCGGGCAGGGGGTCACAGGGAGGCCGGGGTGCCGAGAGCCCGGCCCCGCTTAAATACCTCCGCATCCGCCTCCCGAGCCGCACAACTCGCCCGGCGAGGGGCCGACAGCAACCAGAGTCCCGCAGCAGCCGCCGCCACCGGGGACATCCGCACACCGCCTCCGAGGGACAGGGACACGGAGCCACATGCCTGCGCACTTGCTACAAGAGGAGGTAAGCGGAGGGCTTTGTCCGCTCCTCGCCCCGTCTGGTTCCCTGCTCAGGGGAACGGCCCGGGCATCCACGCGTGTCCGCGGCACACGTATGTGCGTGGCGGCGCGGGCCACTTCTCGGCCGGGAGGCGAAGGCGCTCGGCGCGCTGTAGGGCATCGGCATCGCTCAGCCGCCGTCGGGAGACGGTGAATGAAACGGGGGCATCTGCCGCTGGGAGCAGCGCCCGGAGAGGGTTTGGCGAGGGGGGGCGATCTCGAATATACTGAGCATGAAATACGGGCTTGTTTTAAAACATCCATCCAAAGCTGCTAGCAAGGGATAAGTCCTTTGTGGTATGAGGTCGTGGGGATTTGGGGAGTGGAGCGCTCGGGCTGTGGTTTGCATTTATTATTCATTTTCCGAAAAGAAAGGGCTCCCGCTTCGCAGCGTTTTTTTAAAACAAGTACTGCAGCAGGGAGCGTCTCTAGGACGGACGCAAGGTGAAAGCGGCCAGCTGCCCAGATGAAATGAAATGAATGACTGTGTCTGCATTGCCAAAGCCGAGCAAACATACAATGGGGAGACGGCCCATTTTTGGCAGAAGGCAGCCTGAATAACAACCCGGCACTGGGAAGATATGTAGAGTTAGAGAACACTTGAGATTTTATTTATTTATTTTTTGTTTGCCTCCCGGCCGTCACACTCCCCAGGGATGCAGGGGGCTCCTGCTCTCACATTCTCATCCTTCCCTTTTCTGCCTGTGCTGAGGAATGGGAGGTAAACCACAGCCCCCCACCTTGCCTGTCACCAGCACGTGGTGGCTCTTCCCATCCTTTTGTGCAGGTGTTACGACCTTCCAAGGATGCTGTTATGTAAATAATTGTATTCCTTTCACCACCTGAAATGGATGCCAAGGACAGTGTGCTCAGACCACGTTCCTTGGTCTTGACGTGTACTTTGGGGCATATCCTGGAGGCTGGGAAGATTCCTGTCCCTGGGTCACACTGGGCATAGTGAAATGCGCGGGACCTGAGATTCAGTGCCCTGAGGGCCCTGGGCTGAACGCTTGGAGCTGCAGCTGGCTGTAGAGCTGTCTGGTTGCCAGGATCACCTATGCAGTGTTTGATGCTGGTCGGGTATGTGGGGGGGCGTGGAGATGGACACAACATCTGTTGTGCACATGAGAGCTGCAGAGTCATTCAGAAAGGAGAGAGAGCTCACACAGATGATTTAGTTGATGCTCTCCCTCTCTCAGCTCTAGACCCCAGATCAGTTCCTCTCCCATTTTCCTTGGTGGGAGCCACAGGAGTCATGGTGGCCATGAAAGGATAAAAATCTGTTGGTTTTTTTTTTTTTTCCTCCTGGTTTCCCTGGTCTCCAGCTAAATAGCTGCCTACTTCTCCCTCCTTCCTCCCCCCCCAATCCTTTCCACCAGGTCCGTAACGATGGAGCTGTTTCACAGCCATTTTATGGTCCTTTTGATTTAAGGCTAGTTTACATGTGAGAAATGACCTGTTTGATTATATCACTGTAATTCTAGCAGCAAAGATATGTCGGTAAAATTTTTCACTTGTCTACTGCAACGCAGTAAGAAGTATTTTTTTCTTCTCTGCTGTTTTCTTTCTACTCTCCCTCCTCCTATGCAACTCTGACTGTGACATAATCTATCACAGAGGAGAAAAATGCAGTTCCAACCTCACATTCTTATTGTGGAAGCAGCATGTCCATATGGGGAGTATTACCCGTCTAATTATACCACCAGATCTCTGCTGGGAATTTTTCCTGCATAGACAAGTCTTCGGTCTTTTTGGTTTATTGTCTTCCAGCCAAGGAAGAAAACTGTGCCTTCCTGCCAGAATGTCAGATGAGAATATCTGACACTTTGGAATGGGCAGGATTTTTATTTGCCTAATCTCTGGATTAAAAGCCATTTCTCACAGCTCTTCTTGCGGGGTTGCCTCTGAATTCTCCAGCAGCTCGGAGTATCACACCCTCAGAGTGACATTAATTAGAGAAGCAGGGAGGGTTGGCCAGTGGCTGCGATGCGGAGATGGCCAGTCCCAGCACAGCGGTGCCTGGGCACACAGGGAGCAGCAGGGTGCTCAGCAGCATCTAGGGTTTATCCTTCTAGCCAGGGTATGTTCAGCTGCGAAAGGAAAAGCTTAGAGGGCTCCCTGCCTAGCAATCATTACTCTTCCCAAATGTGAGGAATCTCCTGGATTTGCCAGCTCCTCCCCATAGGAAGGTATGTCTGTAACCCTCTAGTTTCTGCCCTTGGGAAAGGGAGGAGTTGGAGTGGCCATGTAAGCTGCCTGGCCTGATTTTAATGCTTCCCTCAGGAAACTAGGCCATGGCGGGGTGGTGGTCCTTCATACATCCTGGCCGCCTTGGGTTCAGTCCGCTTTTAATTCGGGAGAGGTTTCTCTTCAGAAGGGAGCCCCGCAGCTGCAGGCTCTGAGCTCAGCCATGGCCTCTCCTGCTCCCTCTGGGTTGCTTCCCAGCCCGCTGTGCTGCGCAGGCCCACGGCCCCCAGGCATGGAGGCAGGGCAGGGCAGCACACCCCCACCACCCACAGCCCACGTGCACAGCATCTCCGGGTCAGGCCCAGGCGTGTACTTGGGCTTGGGCCTGCGGAAGGGGTGCGAGTGCCAGCAAACACGCAGCTGTCAGGATGGAGGTGGAAATGGGTGATTCAGGGTTCAGTGACCTGTTTCATGAGGGTCAGTCCTGCCTGCTCTTTTCGTCATGCGTGCCTGCTCGGGCGGGCTGTTACTGTGCCAGGGAAAACAAGCATGTGGAGAGGGAATGTTGTGTCATGGTTACAGGAGAGAGCCGGGAGCCAGATCCAAAGAGCTTGCTTCTTAAACCTTCCTGTCCCTGCGTTGGTGGCCTCAGCTCGTGGGATTGCCTTCCAGTGCCTCATTTTGTCGGTGAAGAGTGAGAGAGGGATAAGGAGCCCAACAGCAGCCGTGAAGCGGGGGCTGTGGGGCTGACTGGTCTGTAGGCGAGAGGTCCTGTTGCATCCCAGCCTGGATGGGGAGGCATGGGGACACAAAGAGGCTCTCCAAAGGAGCTTCCTGCCGTTACCTTGTGATCCCTACTGGGCTAACACAAAGACACTTGAGATTGGGAGAAGCCTGATGATTTAAAAAAAAAATCGTATTTCAGATCATATTTCTCCCCCATCTCTTTATTTGTTCACAAGGTTTCCTTTATTTTTGTCTGGTTGTGTACAAGCCCAGACTGAAAGCCCACCTTAAAACTGCCCACTTTTAAAACAGGAGGAAAATAGAAATCCTTACAGCCTGCAAAAGAACTCACCAAAGCACTGATAGATGAAAATACTGGCTTTCAAGTCTTTCTGTTTACTTTTTGCATGGTGTCCACCATTCACCTCCTCCCCCAAGAAAGAAAAAGCCCTCTCCTTTTCACAGACCATCTCTACATTCTTGCATTTGTAACCACCAATTTCTTGTCTTGTTTTCCCTTTTTCCCTTTCTTGAACACATCCATTGCCATCTCTCCAAGGAGTTCTCCTCCGCTTCCAGCACCACCACTGTCACCTCACGGGTGACCAAGAATGGGAATGCCGTTGTGGAGAAAGACTTACTTCATCATGACAATGTGGCTGCAGAACGAGGCATGGTAGATGACCTCTTTGATGAAACCTACCGTGAGAAGGAAGGCCCCAAGCCCCCTTTTCGATACGTCTGGAGAAATATCATCCTCATGAGCCTGCTGCATCTAGGGGCCATAATCGGGCTGACGATGATCCCTTCTGCAAAGATCCAGACCCTGGCATGGGGTAAGCACATTTCTCCTCTTGTTTCTCAAAACATGGTTGTTGGGTGGGATTTTTATTTTTGCTCCAGGCTTCAAGAAGGAGAAGAAGTAAGTGGAGATCTTTTAGAAGATGCTCAGCCAGCTTCATAGCAAGCTAGGAAACACTAGCAAGTGTCCTTTGAGGGAGAAGGATTTGACAGGGATTGCCTGGATGATTAAAGAGCAAACTTGCTGCAATGGTATAGAGAGGAATTTTCCTCATGCTTCAATACTGCATCCTTGCTGGCTCTTGGAGGTCCTCTGCCTGGCAGGCATTTACTACGAGAACTGGCAGAAGTAGAGGTCCAATTTTCTGGAGTATTCAACCCTCACAGGAAGAGTCCTGATGCTGAATGGAAAAAAAAAAAATCTTTACACAAAGAGATTCTAGTCTGCTAGACTTTGGAGTAACACACACCTGAATGCAGCACCTTCTGAGGTGAAGCACAGAAAATGTTTGATGGAGCACAGTGACAGTCCTGGAAAGTTAGAAAGAAAGATATTAGCAAGAGTCCATTCAGGAGTGGCTGGGAATAGAAGACACAGGGAATTTGGTGAGAGGCTGTTGCCCAGAGTAACCATTCCTATGTAAGTCTGCAGATACTCCATGGGTTTGTGAGGGGAAAGAGACAAAATACAGTTGTGCTGAGGGTAAAAGTTCATTCTTGTATCATTCTTATGAGAACACAATTAGCCTCCATCATCCCAGAATTAAGTGTGACAGCTTTCAAAAAATAAATAAGCGGCTCTCCAGGCAGCGAATTCCGATAGAAAGCACAACCAAGCAGAAGGTAGCTAGGAGAAGCTCCTTTTTTTTCTGAGACCTATCCCTGAGCAAGAACCAAACTTCTTTGACTGCTTGAAAGACAGCTGGGACTGAGGCCCAAGCTGCTGGGGCGCCTCACTTTGCATGAGGCTTTATATGAACTTCCAAAGGGTTCAAGAAGCCAAACCGTTCCCAGTGGGGAGTTCTGGAGATTACATCCAGCCCTTGCCTGTCTGTGAAGCAGTGCATCCTGAAATGGGAAGCCCCAGTCATATTCAGAGACATGCTGGCAGTTTCAGCAGTGTCCCTGTGAAGTACTCAGGTGGGAGCAGTATCCTGGCCAGCCCAGGAGGACAGGCCCCAGAGAGGTCCTCTTGAAGTCCCTTGCGCTGCCTTGCTGCCCCCGCTGGCTGGGACCCAGGGTGGGTCATACTCTCAGTCTGTCATCCTGACAGCTGCGAGTTATAAGCACTGCATCTGTACTGATAAGGAGATGGCTCCCTAGGCTGCCAGACTTTGTGCTTCCCCAACTACTTAAGCATCTCACAGTGAGACATCTGGGGATGAGCCCACTGGATGCCACAGGACTCAAGAGTCTGGCTACATCATCTGCAGAAACAGAGGCAGCGTTCTCTGTTCCCACACTGTCAGCATGGCCTTTCACAGGGATGTTATGAAAGAAAACGTTGCTGGCCTTTCCCTTGTGAAAGCTTGACAGGCCTCAAGGACAGGCTGCATTTTTCCCTGGGGCTGGCAGGGCTGGGCAGGACATGCAGCCTCAGCACAACATTGGAGGAGTGTTTCTGGGCTGTGTGGTGGGGTGTCCCCTTCCTGAGCTCTTGGCTGCAGGCAGGAGCTGCTGACCTGTCTCACACCAGCGTGCTGGCAGCCCGAGTCATCCAACCCCCACCCAAACAGCTTCAGCTTTACGGCAAGGAGGAGGGTGAAGGTGAGCTGGGCCTATTGGTTTAATGTCTGCTGAGATGTGCTGTTATTTCCAATCCATCCAACCCATCTCCTTGAGCTCCCCGGAGATATTTAAGTGGGCTTGAGCATCTCTGTTCAGATGGTAAATGATGGCTTGCACTCTGATGAGCCCCGTCTTACCCTCAAAATGGTCTCTGAGGCAGTGTCCTTGCAAACATATGCTTGTTCTGTATGGCATACTGTGGCACTTCTTGGGAATCTGCCCTGCTTTTTTTCCTGACCCCAGTCACTCCTCTTCCTCAGCCAGCCCTGATGTGAAATGCCAGTGGCTGTCCAGCCACTGAGGCACTTCATGATTCCTCAGTGGCTTCTGGAGTGACAAGTACCCCGGGAAGGGGAGAACGTGGAATTTGAGGAACTGCATTGTTTTGGGCAAGCTGGAGATCCATCCTGTGTTAAGGGAGCTGCAGTGGCTTCAGAGAGCTCCCTGTCCTAGATGACATCCTCTGGAAAAGGACCACCCTTTCTCTCATCCTGCAGGCCAGACAAAGCTTTTCCAGCCTATTCTCTGGGGCTGGGATGCTTCCTCCATAAATTTGACTTCTCAACAAGGCTTCTTGCTCTCTCTTGCACTGTTCTTGTCTCAGCTCACTACCTTTTCTTGGAGGGACATAGAGAGCCTCTGTGACTGTTATCTCACGGTCTTCTTGTTACCTTCCCAGCAAGGAAAGGACAACAGTTCCCCTTTGACACACAAAGACAGAATAGCAGGGACTTGTCCACATGCCATGGACTTATGGCAGAGCATCCCAGTTGTAGTTTTGGAACTGTTGGTTTTTGTTTGTTTCTTTGTTTAGATCATTCCTTCCTCAGGCTATGTACATGTAATATAAAATCATTGTGGCCCCAGATGTTCTCTATTGTGTCAGGTAGCTGATCTACCCTACTGTATTTTTTATAAGGAGCAATCCTCTGCTTGTATTCTCTTCATCTAGGCCAATGTCTCCTTGATGTTTCTGTCCCTCTGAAACCAGTTATATTGGTGACTGTGTCCTCTTTTGTTTTCATTTCTCTGTGTGCTAATTCCTCTTTGTCTCCCAAGCTCTCGAGCCCTGCCTTCATCATTGTTTGCTGTTCTGCATTGCTGTGTGCATTGTATCCCCTGATCTCTTTCTGGTACAGAGCTTCCCAGAACGAGCTGGGATTGTTGATCAGGTGAAAGCTCACCATATTTAAAGCTTTCTGAGCCCTTCCAGTGCTATGGCTTTCTTGCTATCTCCCCTTTTTAATTACTGTCTTCTCCTCTACACTTGACAAAATCTGGTCCAGACTTTTTATCTCTAGGGATTGTGGGCAGATTTTGTTTCCTTTGCCAGACTGAGTCCGGAAGGGATGGATGCAAAGGGGATGGACAGTTTCTCACTACTCACTCCTCCGAAACATGATTTACAGGTTGTCTTCCTGGCCCTCAGATACATCAGATGGTGATATTTGTGTTAACTCCTGATGACCCGGCTCCTTGCAGCGCTGGCAGAAACATGGGTTGATACTTTTCTGAACCATAATCTTTCTGGATAATTTAGGCAATAGACAGCCTGAAAATCTCCAGCAAAATGTTTATAGAAGTCTGTTTCTACTTTCCCATTGAGGCTGCTACTGGCAGTACCTCTCCTAGTGTCCTCTCCAGGCTTAATTTGCAGGCAACAGTGCTTCTCTGCTGAGTGCAGAGGGGAAGTTCTGATTTTGCCAGACAGGGAAGTTAAAGTTTAGCAACAGCAGCTCCTACTGCTCCTTCTAAACACTGTTCCCCTTATGCAGCCTGCATATGTTTCCTTACTATTGATTTATTTCTCCCAAGAGCAGCAACTGTTTGCTATCCTCACAATCTGGCTAGGTTGGACTGGGAAGCAAACAGAAAATAATCTAGAGCTGTAGCTTTCCCTCCCTCCCTCTGAGCAGAAGCCCAAGGACACCTGTGGGAGGAGGGACACCTCTTCATGTAAACATCCTTGATGCTGAATGCAGGTGACAATGCCTTTAGCACATTCCTGGCTTCCCATCATAACTTGAGGTCTGAATCTGAGCCGCAAAGAGGTAGAGGCTATTGAGTCATATAAGCATGACTGAATCTGAAGTGTTTTTGATTCATTTTTTGGGCGGCTGAGAGCGCTTTATTGCCAGTGGTCATAATTCTTTATATTTCATTTGAATGGGTCATTGTCAACATCACCTGGGATGCTACAAATACAATATCTTTTGGATATTTTATACTGCAAAGCCACAATCATGTCATGGTACAGAACATGACGCTGAAACCTCAGTTGATGGAGTGCTTAAGTCCTTCAATTTGGGGCAGCGTGACAGGGCAGCTAAGAAAGCCTGGCTATTTCACCTTCTCTGTTTCCTTTCCAATTCCTATCCTAATGAGTGATCTTGGAGAAGCTCTTCTTCATTCCCTGCAAGATGCTCATTCCCTGGCTAAGTCACAGTCATCTGTTCAGGGGGATGAACTCTCTGAATCATCAGGGTACTGATTCCTCTGTTCACCAGTATTTTTTTCGATTGTCCATATCCTGTTCCTGCTCCAGTTATCACTGTCATAACCTATAACCTATAACAGAGCTAACAGCCCCCAGGAAGAGTTCCAGTTTCTTTGAGTCTATATGCCATATATGCACAGCCAGGTAACCAGGTCCTTTCCCACAGCATGTTTCTTCTCCTTAGATAAAGTACAGTTATTGTATGTGGGCAAGAGGCAAGGCAGCATGGAGTTATAGTTAGTTGTAGGACAGTATGTGAGAGTTAACTAGAAAGGGAAGCCTGAGCTTAGCCTATAAATAGCACCTGTACTCACCTAACCTGGTATTTACTTTCTAGCACTGTTAAAGATGATGAAAGATCATACAGTTCCATTTCCATGCCCAGTTCACCCTTAACTCACACCTACTTGCCCCACAGTGGGAGCTGGGCTCCTTTCTTACCAAGTTACCCCCTACAACCTTGATCCAACATCCACTGCAAGCCGTCATTGTTTTTTTTTTTCTACGGACTCCCTGTTTGGTGTTTCTCATAGAGGTTGGAGAGATACTGCTCTCAGCTCTGGTTTAAACTGCTTGTCATTCTTGGAAATCTACCTTAGCTGTCAAGATGTGCACAGTAGGTTACCCAGAAGTTTTATGAAATCTGCTTTGCAGGGCATAGCAGCCTTTGCCCAAGGGAGAATGATGGTGTGTCACACTCCTACCACTAATAGGAAGTGTCTGCAACATCCAGAAGTGGGTTTAGTTGTTACTGCAGTGTCTGATATTATTCAAATCAGAGTCAAAGGCCTGGATTATCTGAATGAAGGAACTGGTTTTAGTCATGTTACTAGTAAAGTGTTTTCTGAATTAAAGATAAGCTTGGTTAGATCCATTTGGCTGGAATTAATGGTACTGTCAAGTACATTGGTGATCCTTATCAATGGGCCTACTTGTAGGAATAAGGAGCTGTTTACGGGATTAAGTGAATAGGCTGAAATCTGCAAATTTCTGCTAATGATGGAGTTACCTTCTGGGAAAGCACGAAGATGTCCTTTCTCCCAGAGCTCCCATTAGATCAGCAGGTTAAATATTTTTCTAGCCAACTCAGACTAAGAAAGGGAGCAGAAGAGAAGCCTAATCATGGGCTTGAGCTGTCCTCCTAAATAACTCTAAAATAATCTACTACCTTTAGGTTAAAAGAATGCAAAAGAGTGACAACAGGTGAGGTAGGGAACTGAAATCCTTGATTGGGAGGAATGGGAGAAGCCACTCCCTGGTAGATGCATCTGTTAGATGCACCTCTCCTCCTCCCAGACCAAGCCTGTCTGATGCTGGGAAGTGCTTTGTACTAAAGTAACTGCACTCTCAAGTTGATATATTACTGCCCTATATATGCTTTCCATGGGTTCTTCTCTTGAATACACAGCTTTGGGGGAAGGTTTGTCTTTCTGTTGCTTTGCCTGAAACTGTGATGCAGGCTGACTTGCTCTAACTGCTCCAATGCTTTCATTTCCTCTCCAGCCATTCTGTGTTTCGTGTTGAGCGCTCTGGGGATAACAGCTGGATCTCACCGCCTCTGGAGCCATCGATCCTACAAAGCCACACTGCCCCTGCGGATCTTTTTGACTATTGCAAACTCAATGGCCTTCCAGGTAAGCTCTTTGTGTGGAAACAAGTCCTCAGAAAGAAGTGCTCCCCTGAGTCTGTGTTTCAGATACACGGCACAAGATGATGACCGGTTCCTCTCTCCTACTACCTTTTGTTAGCAAGTAACCTACCCTTTCCTTCTAACATTGTGGTGCTAAAGTCCATCTCATTGCCTTCACCTTGCCCCTTCAGAGGGTGACTGTGAGATGAACCTTGCTAATGAGATGGGGGAAGGACTGCTCACCAAGGTCAGGGGTAGGAAAGCTCTCCAAAGCAGGAATGTACGCTTCCCTCAAGTGCATTCTCCAGTACTTGCCTTAGGAGGATCTGTGAAGGAGGTGTGGATGTGCCAAGTGCTCTCCTGATATTTGGGTGGCCTCACCCTCCTCTTTCTGATAAGAGGGGGACACATCTGCACAGACTGGGGAGCAAGGCTGTGGAATTTGCTGCTGCAGAAAGATCAAGCACTTGAGCATTTAGGGGTAGGCTTCTTTGATTTTGGAATAGTGATGGTGAGGAATAACCCTAAATTGAAGTCATACCACTAGCTTGCAGAGAGTCATCCCAGGGCAGTGATGTTTCAAGGAGAGAGGGTTGGGCCCATTCTGAGTGGCCCAACTGACTTGCAGGCAGCTGATAAGCTCCTCAGGATATTGCCTAATCACTCCTGAGAGCACTTCATCATCTGCAAAAGCAAACAAGGACGGCAGTCCTTAGGGACTCCATAAAGTAGCAGAGATGGCCCTGAAGAAGTTAGAGTGAAAACCCTAATTGGATTGGCACACAAAAATTATCAGTCTCTCCTGTTTATTGCTATGGAGCAGCTCTAATGGAACTCCATTCTCCAACTGTACTAGAGGGGACTTCATACAGGATAGCTACTATGTAGGAAGTAGTGGGTTGCATGGCAGGCTGTAGCACTTTCTGCTGGAAGAAGGTGCACAGAAAAGTGCCAGTGCTTTGCCCTTAAGTAATTTTCCAGCTGAGGTGTGGGGAGAAGGATAAAGCCCAAGTGGACCAGCTATTTTAGAGACACTATCTCACTTTGTTCACTGTGCAACCATGGAGAATATAATCACTGATGTGTAATCAGAACAGGGAGGGAATGTTTTCCCCAGTCTTGGAAAAGTTTCTAAAACACCATTCACTTTCCTATTCTCTGTTAGTACCAAATCAGTTTTTCATGAAGAAGAGGAAGGACCAAGCTGTTGATTCCAGCTATTGGTCCAGCATGGGAATGAGTTGGGTTGCTGTGTATTAGCCAGTCCCATACAAAGACCATCCTTCACAGGGTTGTAGGGCAGAAGAGGGAAAGAATTTGCTGAGCTATTGCTATAGGGAGTAGACACAGATGAGAGACAGACAGATATTCCAGCTTCAGTAGGAACTAATCCAAAGTTTTACTAAAAATGCAGTACCATTCCTCTTGAGTTTTTTCTTTTAATAGTTTATTTGCAATTTATCTCATTCCTGTTATTGACAGCAGCTCTAAAATCAGACTGGTAACTATTCAAGCCTGAAAAGATCATAGATTATCTCATCTGAGGATTTCCAGAAAATGCCTGTCAGCTGCTCAAAGTCCTGTGGCTTCTGGTTTCAGAGAGTTTGAGCCCTATCTGGCTCTTCCATTGTGAAGACCAGACAGCTGCAGTGCAGCAGAAGCCCCTCTGGTTGTAGCCTATAAGCTGGAAACTCCCAAGGAGGGAGGGTTCTCTGAGGCTTCGCCTGCTGACCTAAGAAAGTCAAGGTTGCAGTTAGGACTGGTCCCAAGCTAAGAAAAGACATATGCTAAAGTTTGGATCAAGATTCTGAGTTTTCTGCCTTGAAATCGCTGATATGTGTTTGTGCACATGGTGTGAAAGACAAAGTAGTACCATGCTCTAGCAGGTGGGCATGGCCTCTCTACAGATTTGTGTCTGCTACCTCCAGCAGAAGGCATAGTTCATAGATGTCCTATGTAGTAATGAGATTAAGGAGTCTCTCATGTAACAGAAGAAAAAGAGATGTGCTTAGATCTGTTTCTTGCTTTCTAGGATGCTGTAATACATGGCTTTGAGCAAATTAAGATCTTGTTGTAGAGGAATGAGTACAGGCTCATTGAAATCTATTCTTAAAAGTGGCCAAAGCAAGTCTTTTGTGATACAAATGATGAAAGCTTTGACATTTTTCAAACCATATTGATTTCCTAGCTCAAAATGAATGGGTAAATTTTGGTAACTGTCATTGAAGTTGTGTGTTTATTTCTAAAACTTTTAAGATTGCTTGATTTAAAAAAAAAAAGAAAAGTTTAAAAAAAGGACTGCCCCCAAGTCAAACAGATTTGGCAATCCCAGGAAAAGTAAGGCAGGCTGACCCGTGGAAAATGTCATTGTAGAGTGAAGGGGCAGGTTGATCAATACTTACTGGCAGCTCTAGGGACATGGTCAAGAGACCAGTGCGTGCTGAGTGTGTGAGGGAGGAGGCATGAACTGGCCAGTTAGGACTGGGTATTGTGGGGTGGGGGAACAAACAGAACCACTCAAAGCCTGTGATGCTGTAGAGGATGTGCAAACCAAGACCTAAAGTTAACTAATTAAAAACACTAAAAGAGAGTAAAAGAATTAAAAAGAAAAAAGAAGCAGATGCTAAAGAACAAAGAAGATCCAACCTCTGCTTTAAAAGTCAAAAACCTCAAATCCTAAAGAAAGACAGAATGACTAATACACATTCATGTCAACAGGATTTAGGCCCTTTTGTAAATTTGAAGGGAGCATCTCCAGACTTAGCCCTAAGTTTCTGCTAATCTTGCCTTGCAGAATGACATCTATGAGTGGGCCAGGGACCACCGTGTCCATCACAAGTTCTCCGAGACAGATGCAGACCCTCACAATGCTATGCGGGGCTTCTTCTTCTCCCACATCGGCTGGCTGCTGGTACGCAAACACCCAGATGTCATAGAGAAGGGCCAGAAGCTGGACCTGAGTGACTTAAAGGCTGACAAAGTGGTGATGTTCCAGCGGAGGTAAGTAGTGGGGTGTAGGATAGAGTGGGAACCCCACAAGCAGGCTAGGGAGCTCCTCTGGTGGACTGTGAAAGGAGCTGGGGTGTCATGTGAGAAATGTGAGTCCTTGGTCTGCCTGAGGCTTTGCCATGGGATGAGCTCTGTGAGAAGTCAGCTGTGCCTCTTCTACAGAAAGCATTTAGAAGCTGGTGCCAGGGTGCCAGCCCTCCCATACTCCTTTCTCACCTGCCAGCCTTGTAGCACCTCACTGACATGGGCTGAGTTTCTCATCACAAACCACTTTCATGCCTGCTTGCCCACAGTCCCACTGCTGCCTGGGCTGGCCCAGAACTCACCTATGTGTACCTCTGGGCCATCCCTGGAGAAGCTGTGGTTCATGTTCCTGGTCATGCCTCTGCCTCCCTTCCATTGGTCTGCTGGAAAGTGTCTGTCAGCTGTCTGGGGCTGTACTGGGGCTCATCTTTGGAGAAGATGAGCTTGTCACCAGGGCTGCAGGGATGGGACACTAAAGCCTAACTCAGTCCCAGATGAACAAAGCAGTTTATGCTCTCCTACTTTTTGTGGGTTTCACTTGTGGATCACCAGAGTGGCTCAGCTTCCCCTACTCCTGTCCTTCCAGTGTGAGAGACCCAGTATGCTCAGCTATTTGAACAGGGCAAGCATCCTCTGCTTGCATTTGTTTGTGGGGTATATTGGCAGATAGGGCCAAGTGCAAGGAGCAGCACTTGGCCAGAGCTGGAAAACAGAGCTTCTGTGGAACCTTCTGCAAATGTGGCATTGCTTATAGAGACCAGCATAGCTAAGGGATAAATTGGAGATTGGGAAAAAGGCAGCGATTGGTGTCTGGACTTATGATGATGGGGGCATTTCTACATATGTGTGGCTGGAACACAGACGGCAGGAGTTTAGTCCACATCTCTTGCTCAAAGATAAGACTTGGAAGTCTCCAGCAAGGGTTTCCGTGCACGCAGGGTAAAAGACATGGGACTCAGCATTGAGATACTTCTGCACTTGATTTTCCCTGTATGAGTCAGACAAAAAAATCTCCCAAGGGAGGACTGAACCAGCCGTGCATCTGCCACTGAACAGTTTCCTCCTGGTCCCTTCTTTTCCAGATACTACAAGCCGTCGGTGGTGTTGCTGTGCTTCACGCTGCCCACTGTAGTGCCCTGGTACTTCTGGGATGAATCCATCATCATCAGCTTCTTCATTCCAGCCATCCTGCGCTACACCTTAGGGCTCAATGCCACCTGGCTAGTGAACAGTGCTGCTCACATGTTTGGCAATCGGCCGTATGATCAGAACATCAACCCACGGGAGAACCCACTTGTCAGCGTGGGGGCCCTAGGTACGTTCAGCATCCATGATTTTCACTGCTGGTGCTGCAGATGTTTATGGAGATTTCTGTGAATCCAGGTGTCCTCATTTCCCCTACACCATTCCCCTCCTGCCCTGCAGCTTTTGTATGTGGAGGTGTTTCCCAGTCTAGTCAGTGAGTACATAAGGGCAGTGGGGTTATCAGTTTCCACTAGCCTCTCTGCAGCCTGGAAAAGACTCTGTTAGACTTAGCACCTCCTTATCTCAATAGCAATTTTTTTATTTACCTTGCTCCAAGGTCTCTCTGCTCTGTTTACCAGACCAAAAAATTTGTTCTTCAGTCTCAGCTTCTCTCTCTTAGATTTATCATCTTGAAAACCAGCAGATGCGTATTTGGATATGCTCTTAGGATGGCTAGTGATTTGAGGCTACTTGAAGATGAGACAAGCCAGATCTCATGCATTTTCCCAAATTCTGAGAATCAAGGAAAGTATATCCTAGCATTTGCCCATATCTGTTCCCCTAAACTCAAATCCCAGCTGCTGTGCATCCCTATATATTACTGTAGCTGCACTGATTTCCATCACTGAAAGATCTATTCTTGAGGTTTTAGTAGAGAGGGATTTTAACTACAGAGAGCCAGGGGGAGTCCAGGCAATGTAATTGGGCATTGAAGCCCACCTTAACACTCTCTAGAGCAGATAACTAGCTTATGTAGATTGCTTAGTAGAGGTCTCTGTGCATTGCTCCCATCTGGAAATACCTTTTGGATTTTTGGCATTAGGACTGTTAATTGGCCTCTCCTGGTTTGTGATGGACTTGATGCAGGTCTATCTGGTAGCTCAACCTATACTAGAAGGTGTCTCATTATGGCAGAGGAAAATCCATTAGGATTCTCCCAGTTTATTGGTGCAGTCTGTGAACCAGAACTTTTCTAGGCTCCTGGCTGATGCTCATTTTTTGCCAAAGTCTCATAATTCCTCTATGGCTGTCATCGCCTTTTTTGGGCCAGCACAGGCTTCCTCTAGTGCTGGACTATGTCCAAATGAAATGGAGCAGATCACAGAGGAGAACTGAGAGGAGAGAGCAACCCAGACAATCCAGAACTTGTTGCAGGACTGTGGTGCTTTGGGCCAAGTGAAAGGGGCCCTAGCCTAGAGCTCTTCCCATCCTCTCCTTGGTCTTGTTTTGCAGGAGAAGGTTTCCACAACTACCACCATACATTCCCCTACGACTACTCCACCAGTGAGTTTGGCTGGCGCTTCAATTTAACCACAGCCTTCATCGACCTCATGTGCCTCCTGGGGCTGGCCAGCGATCGCAAGAAGGTCTCCAAAGAGGTCATCTTGGCCCGGAAAATGCGGACTGGAGATGGGAGTCACAAGAGCGGTTGAGTTCCTACTCCCCTTCACACACACATCCACACCTCTCCTTCCTCCTTTTTCTCCCTTTCTCCTTTCCTGACCCCTCTGAACACGCTGGACAAAGGTTTAATGTTCTGTTTACTAACTACTGAATAATGCTACCAGTTTGCTTACGATAATGATAATGAGTTTTAACCTCCTCCTATGGTGTATTTTACGTGATGTATTTAAGACCTGGAGCTCTGCCTCTGTAACACCAGGCCACCACTTTCCCCCTCCCCTGTCCCTTTTTGTTTTCACTTCTAACTTCTCTGCCCTGTTTTCTGCTTTATTTCATCCCTGCCTCCCCCAGTGGAGGAGCTGGTGGGAAGCAGCCTGGGCCATTGCAGCCTGCTGCATACCACAGTGCTGAGGGATGCCCATACCATCCAGCTGGAGAGTTAAGCCAAAGTCAGTGTGACCGTCTCCCCAAAATTCCCTCCTCTCCTTCCTCTGTCCCTCCTTTCTCAAGGGCTGCTGATGCTTGGCATGGCTAAACTGCTGTCTGGGATAAGCAGCCCTGTCCCTTTCCCTTACTGTTGGGTGCAGTGTGGGGAGTGGTCTCCTCCCCACCTCTCAGCCCTCTGGTGGTGGGAGGAGAGCCCCAAAGGTGTCTGAGAGCTCCAGGCAGGTCTTGGGTGGTTTTGTTGGATGCTGCCAAGATTTTGCCAGCAAATAGGATGTGCCAAAACTGAGAGGGGGAGAAGGATGTAAACCAAAGCTTCACCACTGTATTAAGCTGCTTTACATGCTGGAGGAACAGTGTCCCCACAGATGTCCTGATGTCCCTGCATGTCCCAGGGTCTGGGTGCAGGGACACAGGAGACATGGCTGGTATGGCGAGGGAGCACCTGTGTGCTCAGGAGGGTGTAAAGACTTCTTGGAAGACCTACAAAGCACGTCTCTCCCTCTGCATGGGCTCTGCTTGGTTGATTAACAAGTGCCTGACAAACACTGAGATGGAGCGAGGTGGCAAGGAGCTGAGGGGTCTTGCAGTCCCCAGCTCCCTGAGGGATGCGGACGCACTCTCTAGAGAACACAGGAAGAGAACGCAGCTCCTCCTTAGTCCCTTAGCTTGCTTCCTGGCCCCCTGTGACTGCCAGCCTGCTGCTCTGCCTGGTGAGCAAGCTGCTGTCCCGCTATGCAGGCAGCGCGGGTGGTGAGGCAGCGCAAAGGTCGGTTATATCACCCAGGCCTGAGACAGCGTGGGCAGGCAGCTGAAGGGCGTGTTGGGAAAAAGAAGTTCCTGTGGGTGTTGTTTCCTGTAAGCTGCACAGACTGCAGCAGGAGTTCAGGCGGTTGGGTCGTGGGCACAGTGGCCCCTCACCAGGCTGAATGTGCTTTTTTTTTTTTTTTTCCTCCTTAGCTTCCCTCACCCTTATCCACTTTTATTTTTGCAATTAGTTGTAGCAATAGTATCAATTATGTTGCTTAAACACATGGATGGAACTGGAGGAAAGCATAAGAGGTGACCAGGAAGGGGTAACATTGAGCAGATTGGTGGCATCCCCCTGGTTCTGGAGGCAGCTCATCTGCATGGCCCCTTGCCCCGCTCCCCACAGAGCAGCCTGGCAAGCCTCCCTGCAGCCAGCTGCTGCAGCTTTGCTGCTCTGAGACATGTGGGAACCAGGACAGCTTTGCAATGCTCTCCGTAACTCTTTAGCTCAGGACTCTCCTGTCCTTTCCCCTCCCTGCCGCATCCTTCTCACTGCTCCTCAGTAGGACCCTTCTGCTCTGGGCTACCAGGACTGATGTGATCTCCAGCTGAGGGCTGTGATGCGGAGCTCACAGCATCCCAAAGGTAGCGGCACTGGACTGAAGGCAGCATCCTTACAGCCCCGCTGCTTTGTTGGGGTCAAAGGGGAGAAACACTCTTAGCTCTACAGCGGTGGGCTGCCTTCACCAAACCCCTGTGAACTCCTTGAAGTCTCCAGAGAGGATGAGGTGCTCCAGCCAGTGCTGTGAAGGGGGAAAGGAGAGGAGAACGATTCCTTGCTCCTGGTGCCCTCAGCCTGCAGCATGGCATACCCTGCAGCAGAGAAGTGTGCGTGACATGCTGCAACAGCTCACGTCCTCCCAGTAGAGAAAGCAGGGCCTGACTGACACCAAGGGTTCCTTTTGAATTTCAAGTGCTGATTTGGGTCCAGAATTTGGAATTAGGGTGGAAGCTGAGGAACAGTAACCAAACAGTCCTGGTGTTTGCCCAGTCACTTTCAAGGTGGATTGGCAAATATCTCTGGGTGCCTTAAATCTTTCTTTAATATACATAGAAGTATTGACAGCTGTTTGCTGTTTTTTGTTTTGTTGGTTTTTTGGGATTTTTTTTTGCTGAATTATGAACATTTGAGGGTTTCTTAATTATTTAATTGCCTACATTGAACTGTGGGTGCAGGTGATTTTGAATGTACTTGAGTTAGAAATTTTTGTTAGATTAAGAAACTGATAGAACATTTTAGGTAGACCTTTGTTTGATATATATATATATATATATATACACACCTATAAATATATATATATATTTTTGGTGGCATGTTTGTATCCTGGATGCATCGTCTGTATGTTCACTGTAAATGAGTCTGTGAGAGGTGGAAGCGGATGAGGCGGCAGCGGAGCCGTTCCCTGAGCCCAGGTGAGCACCTGCCTGCTGTGCCATCTGGGACAGTGTCATGTCATGCCTCAGTTTCCCTGCACGGGGCTGCACGCTGCCCACAGGGAGCAGGAGGGAGGCAGCAACACACCATGTGCACAATGATGCTGGAGGAAGCATTTTCCAGGCCCGTTCCCAGTCCCGGTGGTATCACAGAGAGCAAGTGATTGGGTGCTCGGGGAAGGACTGGAGAGCTGAACCTGCGCGCTGCCTGAGCTCTGTCACTTGAGAGTAGGATACGATTTTTCACAGCTTAGGGATTTCTGCATAGTAGTATCTCTCTGTTTTGTGTACTGGAAAAGGAAAAAAACAAAAAACAAAAAAAAAACTTTTTGAAATAATTTCTACTAATATGGAAACAGACATCTGGTTGTGCTGATCTGAAATTTTATTTGTTCATAATAAAAATGTTACTTTAAAGACCTGTTGGGCTTCCAGCGTGACGAGCGGGACTGGGCTAAGCACGAGAACTTAGGAGGCACACTGTCACCCACGCCTTTTGCTGAGCTGGCCTCAGCAGTCCTCGTGGGTCCCTTCCAAAGCGGGATGTTCTGTGTTCTGTGGGCTAGAAGATGCCAATCCTCAGTCCTGCTCCCTCCCACCATTGGCAAGGAAGGGGAGATCAGCCTCTGCCTCTGTAAGGGTGCTGAGCGAGCAGCTCATGATGGCTGCTCCCTCCCGGCACGCCTGCTGCCGGCTGCCCGCGCCGCGGGTTACTGCAGGTTACCCAGCCGGGCTCTGTGCCAGCGCCCGCGGCTGCCGGCCGTGCATGCGGCACAACACGTAATACCGGCAGCCCGGCCCCACGTCACACGAGTTCATTCACCTCGGCCAGGGGAATTTTCCTGCTGCTGCCAGCCCTGCTCTCTCCATCCCTTTTCGAAGCTGGAGGGAAGTGAGAGAAAAAGGGGCAATCCCCCCGCCAAATATCGCTTTAATTGCTGGTTGCTTCTCCCCTACCTCACCCAAGCCCCCTTCAGCCAGAAATGGGGAGTAAGGCCCACGCTGCGTAGGCCCAACTTGCTCCACTTGGATGCGGGGTGCGCACAGCCCCCAGCCCCCAGACACTGCGGCCTTGCACACGGCGTGTGGATCTCAGCACAATCGGCCCACGCTCTGCTTCCAAGGCTGAGCTCCGGCCGCAGCGCTCTGCCCCAGGGCGGGGGGCACAGCGGGGCTGCGTGGCTGCTCTGGGCTGGCGAAGGGCTGCTGCTTGTGGTATCCAGCGCTCTTCTCACTCAGCACAACCCCTCTGAACACAAGTGAGGCAGAAGGCCCAACTCCAACCCCGATTATTCAGAAAAGCCTAAAAATAAAGTTAATGATCCCTCCGCCTGCGTTTCACGAGAGCAGAGCTCCGATCTCTGCCTCTCCCTTTTTCTCCAAGGCTGTCATTAAATCCCCTGCCCAACACACGCTTTCCGGCACTATCGAGCCCTCCAGCGCTGCCAGCTCAGCACTGAGCTCGCTGCCTGCAGGCGTTTTAAAGCGATTCCTCTTCCCCCTTCTCTGCGTGCTCTGTGAATTCGGGGTGCCGTCCCGATGCACCCCAACTCTGCTTTTTTGTGGATCTCCCCCCCACCAAGGCACGGACGGGTTAAGGCGCTGCTGGGAAGAGAGGGCAGGGAAACAAGAGACCGCTTGTTTCGCACCCACCGGCGGGAGGGACCGAGGGCGCAGCCTGCGGGCGGCCAGGTGGGGCTGCGGGCACGGCCCTTGCATCCCCGAGCCCTCGGCACCGGGCAGACCCGCACACACGTGGATGCAGCGACCCCCACCCCCGGCTGGCGCCAGGCAGTTCGGCCCTCGGCTGGCGGAGCCCTGCGCACGCTGCTCCCGCCCATTGGCTGAGCCCAGCCGCAACGGCTGACGGTGCACAAAAAAAAAAAAGAAAAAAAAAAAAAACCAACAACGGGGAGGTGGGGCAGGCTGAGTTTGCCTGGAGGTTACTGTCGGTCAGCCCACGGCCTCCCAGAGCGTGTCGGCCCCGGCTGTTTACAGCAGCCCTCAGCTCCTGACCCGCGCAGGGCCAATCGGCGGCTCGCCTGCCTTGTGTGATCCCGCCTGGCCCAATCCGCGGCCCGGCCTCGGCGTTTCGGCTCCGCTTGCGGGGCCGCCCTCCCGCCGCGCCCCGGACCCCGCCCGCACCCGGCTGCAACGCGGCCCAAACGCGCGGGGCGCGCGGCGTGCCGCCGCCAGAGCCGCGCCGTCCAATCCCCGTGCCGCCCCTGCACGGCGCGGGCCCCTGCAGCCCAGCGCTGCCCCCGAGCTGCTGCGGCGCCTGCTGAGCTCTGGGGATCGCGAGCCCCTCTGCTCGTGCGTGTCTGTGAACTCATGCATACGTGAAGCTCGGTGTCCTGTATACGCACAAATGCTGTGCTGTGGATCCGGTCACTATGTTCCTGAGTGCTGCCCTGGCTCGGAATTCTTAACTACAGCAACCTTGTCAAACCTTCATTTCTCGTTAAGCTATATGGAAAACCATAGCGCTTTGCAGAACAAGCAGGATTTCATAATGGAGTGACAACAGCTGTGACATGACAGTTTGGCGTTGTAACAAACACATCTGCTCGTCTCACATGGTTTGTCTCTCTTGGTTCTCCTAAAATAGCTTTTTGCAAAACTCTGCTCTCTGCTGCTCCATCAGCAGTGCTGCCCACCCTTCTCCAGGTCACCTGGGACCCGCACTCGGTGCATGGTCATTGTGACAGGCAGGAACATGGGGAGGCTCACGTGGCACCAGCGTTGCGCTTCTGCCTTTTCGAGCTGATGGATTAAGCAGCAATGATCTAGATGACAGCAATTTAGCTGCCATTTGATCACCTGAAATAGACTCAGCCTGACCCTGAATCTCAAAGAAATGATGCTGAGATGCGTTGCTCCTGGGTAACCACCAGGAAGTGCATCATTGGAAAACTGAGGTAAGTAATGTCAAAGTCCTGGAATGTTACAGCTAAGATGGAGGTTCCAAGGCCCTCCCACCTCCAGCAGGTGAGGATGTCAGGCCATGCTGCGCTCACCTGCCCCGAATTCCCTGCCAAAATTCCTCCAACCCAATCGAGGGCTGAGGTACCTCTTGTCACTGGCAAAGACGGAGGGGGCAGGTTTCAACCCACTAAAGCAATTTTAAAGTGATGCATGAGATCCACGCAGGTTAAATAAGCATCTTTTATAGCTTAGAGAGACAGGGAGGTGGTTCCCAGGGTGACTCATAGCAGCAGCCTGACATACTGGGTTTGGAAAAGAGTGAATCACCTCCTAGTGGTGCCTCTCTGCCTTTCATACCCAGATACCTCCGTTGGGTTGGATGAGGCTGGTGCAATAGGGTCCAATCCTGGGTGTTAGTGGTGGCAGCCCTCAGCCTCCAGCTGTGACCCCCAGCACACAGTGAGCAACATCAGCTGCTCGCAGAGCAGTGGCTATGGCTGTGGCTCATACCATCCTTGTCTGGGAGCTGAGGAGGTTCAAAATGCCCCAAGAATTACCGGAAATCGGAAAAGCCAAGCTGAGCTTGACTGATAAGAGTTGTTATTATTTTTTTTTTAACACAGGAGGTGATAAACTTCTGGAAAATGTTGCCAATGGGAACATTCAGCACGTGCCACACCGGGAGGGCTGAGACGTGCAGCAAGGAGCTCCATAGCAGGCTGCTAAGTATGGGGCTGTGCCCTCCAGCAACCACACACCCCAAATTAGCATGATGTCTGATGGCACATGGTGAATATCCCATCTTAGGGAATGGAGCTCAGTGTACCACTCCCGACCCACAAGCCCATCTCAAACCCATAAATATGAGCTGCTCTTTGGGCTAATGAGCACGCAACGTACTGGGATTGATGTGGTGGAAGAGATTGTGGACCCACGAGAGTCCTCAGGAAATATTAAAGCTCTATAAGAGCACTGCTAACAATGCACCAGCTTTGCTTTAATGTTTGTGTGCAGTTTATTTTCTGTGTTTATGAAAATTTTCTTTGTCTCTCTACAATTCCTGTTTGGCTCCATCACGTGCAGGCAGAGCATTAGGGGGTATATGAAAAGAGCATAAAAAATGGATGTTTTCTCTTTTCAGAAGTCAGCTATACCAGTATTAGCTTTCATTTGGATTCAGGGCGAACCTGAGAATCAAAGGAAAAACCCCTTGGTCATTTCAGATTTATCTGCAGACAAAGAGCTGGGATTTCCCGGCTGTCTGGGGTTGGTTTTTCTCCAGGCTGTTGTCTCTTTCTGTGTTTTATTTCCTTTCCTTTTGATTTGGACTTCTTCCATTATGATACATATAATCAGTACTTTTGCACACAAATACAGCTGAAAAACCTTTTCCAAGCAAAGGCCAGAAACATTTTGATTTGAAAATACCCAATCCAGAATGCATTGATACAGCACAAACATTTCCCCAATCCCCCCCTTTTTTTTTCTTCTTCAGGATGCTATTTCTGGTTTCTGGCAGCGCATCAGTCCTGATGGAACGATGACAATAGGTTCCTTGGGTGGGATGGAGCTGCTCAGGAGCTGATGCAGGTTCACACCCCTTGGGCTGGGCCAGACTGGAGCCTGAGTCACTCATCATGCATTTACTTCTCACTCTGCTATTGGCTTCTCACACACACTGGGCAGGTCTCCTAATCCTCCTGCAGCTGGCACAGGTGATGCTTTCCTGCTTCTCAGATTTTCTGCTGCAGTCTCTGAGAGAGAGACTTGACATTCAGTGTCCGGCACAGGGAAGTAGGGTTTGGTTGGGCACATCGATGGCTGTGGTAGGGACCTTCTGTCCCAGCTACTCCACCTGGGGTTGAGCTGCCTGTGTTGCTGTGAGGCTGACAGGGCCTTCAGTTCTGCCCCCTGCCAGCCCAGCAGGACAGTGCTGATCCGTGCTGCAGGCAGGTCACAAGCTGCATGAGTGCTGGGGGGTGTCTCTTTGCCCTTTAGTTGCACAACAGCAATACATCTCCATTCCACATGGCCAGTGAGTACAGACATTTCTAACCCAAATGTTTGCCTGGGCACAGCGTACGGTGTCAGCACCAGTGGCCTCTGACCCTCTCTGGTCTGCAGGAGGCAGGTTAGCTGCCTGGCGTCGTGGCATCAGCTCAGCACAAAGGGCAGTAGCACCATAATTATGGATGCTCTTGCTGTTCATTGCCATGCTCACATGCAAAAGACTGCTCAAAGCACATCAAACAGTATATATTTACTGGGCTGGGATTATGCAAACCCCACTTTGGAGCACACTGGCCTGTTAAATGCAGTCAGCTCCCCTCTGTACAAGGGCTACTGAGAGGAAAGGAGCTGTTTGTGATCATAAGGGGGCCTCAGTGCAGCGAGAAGGAGGGCAGTATCCATTCAGTGTGTTAGCTTAAAGATAATCTCTTTGCCCCCTTAGTTTAAATACAATTACCCCATCATCAGTGAAAATCACCGAGACACTCCTGGCAGCTGGCATCAACAGAGCACCTCCTGGGAAAAGCAGAGCTTTACAGCTGCTGAAAATCTTCTTTGCTCCTGTGTTTGGAAATAGCTTTTTCATGGCTGAGAGGACAAGGCTAGGCAACTCTTTGGGGGGAGATGGGAACAGCAATACAAAACCGTTCGTACTGCAAGAGTGATTGCAGGGTAGGCTGGCAGCAGAGGGCAAGAAGGAACTGAGGTGCTGGAGAGCTGTGATTGAGCCATTGGGAGAGGGGGTGGCAGCTAATTCCAGTTAAGGACATGACAGTAAGTGGCACAATGCACTGCCAATGAGTCAATGACAGTGAGATGTCTGGCAATGCAAATCTTAGCTCAAAGCTCATGCAAAGCAGGCTCTGTCCATAAGGGCTACATGTGCATCTGATTTCCCAAATGTCAGCTCTGTAACAACTGGATGAGGAACTTGGCTTTGTGAAACAACCAGCATCGCTTATTTCAGTACTTAAACCCACAGCCAGTGGCTCAGTGTCACCTTTACACACTTTCCTGCTTTATGCCTTTTGTCATATAAACCACAAACCAACACTCATTTTTAATTTCTGATTCTGTTTGGGATTTCTGAATGCTTTTGGAACCTATCACAAAATGCCAGCAGTGTGACCTCCCCTCCACCACCACGATAGCTATCTACACAGCCAGCGCCAAGCATGGCAGCATGACCCTCTCAATTTTCACCACAATAATACAGGTCTAAAACCATTCCTTTTCCCCACCTCATGCCTGGAAGAAGCACAAAGGTTTTTGTTCTAGTTCCTTCTCAAAAACCCAGCTCCTGCTGTTTTCCTGGTCACACCAGTTGAATCCCCCCATACTTCCTGCTCAGCTGAGCAGTGAGTCAGAGCACCCAGATCAGACCTTCAGTTCCTCCTCTCCTCCTGGCTGCTCAAGTCCCGCCGCAGCAGGACATGGCTCTTGGCAGGGTTGGCAGAAGCATCTTTGGTAGCCCACAGGCTTTCCCATTACAGCAGCCCTTTACCTTCATCCCCACTCACTTTGCTCAGGGCAGGAGCCTCTTGGAGGCTCAGACTCTGTGGAGAGGAAAAGACACAGCTAGAATAGGAAGAGTTTCAGAGCACTCACCCTTTCCTCCCCTGTGGACACCCAAGATGATAGCAGTTCTCTCTCCCAGCTCGCTGACTGGCATTATAATCAGATGTGCCAGCTGTGCACTACCTGCAACCCAGGTGTCTCCAGAGCCCCTTGCTGTGCAGCCAGAAAAGACATTTCCTCCATCAGCAGCAGAAGACCCAGAGTCATGCAGACGAAAGTAAGAGAAGCCAACTGAGACCATTGGCAAAGCTGCCAGGCTGAGCCAGTGCCGCCCACAGAGCAGCTACACTAATTGAAACCTGCTGAAGAAGTAGACTGCCTTGTTAACCACATGTATAGGAAAGCCCCAAGTGAACTTCTTCACGAGTAACCAGTGCAGTATGCCATATGGCCGAGATCCCAGGAAGCTTTCTGCTGAGGGCCTGGGCCATCCCGCTCTGCTGGGTTCCCACGTAGAGCAGGTATGCAATTTGCTAGCTGCTGGGTGCCACGTAGTCAGTGCTCCTCCTAACCTTCCGGGGTCTGTGAGGAATTCACACAGCCAGGTCCAGCACCAGTATGTTACAGTGCAGAGAAGGTCATTGCTTCATATAAGAGTCAGCTGGACCATCTGTAAACAGCTCTGCAACTCCATGGCATCAGAGGGAGTGTCTTGATAACAGGAATGCTGACATGAGATGGAAGTCTGTATATCATTAAAAAAATCAGACACCAGAAGTGGTCATAGAATAGAATCACAGAATCATTAAGGTTGGAAAAGACCTCTAAGACCACCTAGTACCACCATCAATCCATCACCACTGTACCCACTAACCACGTCCCTCAGTGCCACGTGTCCTCTCCTTGTACACCTCCAGGGACAGTGACTCCCCCATGTCACACTTCAGATGAGAGTCCAGAGCAAACTAATAGTTTTTCAGGTTTTCCCTCTCCTGTTGTTCTCTGTCCATAGCACGGTGGCTCATCTGAACTTCTGTTCACATCCATATAAAGATGATAGCACTGACATGGCCAAGTACTGATCCAGCTGCCTAGAGATCCAGTTTATTCCTAAACTGCTCAAGTACACCTCATGCCACAGGATCACATACTCTGCCAAGGGCACACATCTTAGCGATAAGTCTGTGCTGAAAGGGCTGATTGTGATGCACTGTTGTGTCTGTAGGCACATGCTTTGCCTGTTCAGGGCAATGATGCTGCTCATTTCAGCTTAAAGGCATGGGGCATTTCCCGGTACAAACAGTTCATTTAAATTCCATATGTTTCTATAGATTTGAATGGAGAAATGGTTGCCAGGAAACATGACTGGGCAAAGATAAGAAAGATACATCCTAAGAAGATATTAAGTGAAAGCTTTCCAAGGAGTGATAAGCTCTGGAGACTGGTAATCCTGATGAGTTTTCAAGAACTGATAGACTCCAGAGGCTGATGTTGAACAAGGCTGCCAGCACACATTAGCATCTTCAGCAGGTTGAGTAACTCAGATCACACCCACTGGGCACTGGCTGCTGTGTGCAAGTGAAGACTATGGAGTTACATATGCACCTGGTGAAACCAAGTGCCCTCTGAAGGAATTTCTAAACACCTGCCGAGAAGCCACTGGTGCATCAGGATAACCTCCTGCTTCCAAGTGTGCACGTTGGGGTTGGCCTCCCAGCTCCAGCTGGGCAACATGAGTGAACGTGAGCGAGTACACAAGTCATTAAGTGAATGCGCTCTGTGAATAGTTACCCATTATTTCTAATAACAGCTTGATTCTATTAATAACAACAGCTAACAGAAGGTACTATAAGGAATAGCGGCCGTAATCTATTTCTTCCCCTAACAAGAAAAAAGGGAATTATGACATCTATTTGGAAGAAACATATTAGAGATGGTACTCAATGTGGTACGAGGTAGCACTCTTAAAAGTTAGTGGTGTGTCCTGCAGATGCTGTCAGTGCAAGACAGCTTCTTTGGCCAAACAAGCCACCTGCCATGAAACAGTTCGTGTAAAGCCATGTGAAATCTTTGCCACTGCTCACAGCAGTCAAAGGAAGAGGGTTCCATGTGAGAGGCAGCTAACCATGCTGCTCCATCACCCACACATCTCTGCATGCTTCAGTGTATGGCTGAGGACCACAGACTGGCAGACCCAGCCCCACCATTAGTCACTCTACTGTTTGCAATCTGCAATTTTTCTAAAGCATGTGCTTGTTTCAGGTGTTTCCATAGGTGATACCTCAAGGCTGCTGCTGATGTCCAGGGAAACTATGCAGATTCAGCATTTCTAACGTGGAAAAACAACCACGTGTTGCAAGTTGCATTGCCCCAAAAAAGATAGCAGCCACATTTTTACCTTACAAGCCTCCCCCTGGATGTGCCTCCAGGTAATCTGTGTTCCCATCTCTCTGGGGCTGTCATGTCTGTACCTCTACATAAGGAGCAGATTTCTCCATATGTGCATAAAGAATGTGCGTTGTTTGAATTACTACTGCAACCAAACTAGCTTTATTGAGTCAGACCCAAACTATCCTCTGATTAACCACAGGTAGCAGCAGATGCTTTGAGACTGAAAGAACAGTCATATTATCTCTAGCCTCTTATTTTTAATAACTACCAATAGTGTCCTCATCTGTGAAGCACTCCTCCCAAAGAAGTGCTTAAAGGCTTGAACCAGGTCACGCAATCTTGCACATAAAAGCAGCTCCAGCACTAGATAGAGCCTGCAGCCCAAGAGGCAGAACCCCAACATCCAGATGCAGGCAGAGGTGCCTCGTAAGAAGCAAACCCAAAGCACTCATCGCAAAGCAAACTTGTTAGGAACAGTCAAACTAATGAAATAAACACTTTGACAGGCAAAACATGCTTCTAGATTTTCCTGTGGCGTTCCAGCCCTGATCGCAGAAGTTTCACACACACACCTGGCCTCTGTGAGCACACATACAGCTCGGCACTAACACACACCTCACTGAAGCAGCACTCAAGCACAACTTTCTGCTTCAGCAAACGTTTTTCCTGTTATCTCTGCTAACTCCTTCAGCCCCAGCACACT